GCAGCATATTAAAAGGATTACACTCAAGACCAAAATGTGTTTATTCCTGAAATGTAAGGATGATTCAACATACAACAATCAACATAGTATGCCACATCAACAGAATGAAGAAAAATAGAAAAAGATCACCACATGATCATTTCTTCTGATGCAGAAAAAGTATTTGACAAAATTCAACACTCTTTCATGAGAAGAACACCGAACAAACTAGGAATTGAAGGAAACTCCCTTAACATAATAAAAGCCATATGTGAAAAACCCACAGCTAACATCATAATCAATGGTGCAAGACAAAGTGTTTCCTCTAAGATCAGGAACAAGGCAAAGATATCCACTTTGATCAGCACAAAGATCAACACTTCTATTCAACACAGTACTGGAAGTTCTACCCAGAGCAATTAGGCTAGAAAAAGAAATAAAGGCATCCAAAGTGGAAAGGAAGAAGTAAAATTATCTTTGTTTGCAAATGATATGATCTTATATGTAGAAAACCCTAAAGATTCCACAAAATAACTATTAGAACAAATAAATTAAGTAGCAGGATACAAAGCCAACACACAAAAATCAGTTGCATTTCTACACACAAAGAAAAATTTGAAAAGGAAAATTACAAAACTGAAAAGGAAATTACAAAATTACAAAACACTTCCATTCACAATAGCATCAAAAAGAATACTTAGGAATTAACTCAACCAAGGAGGAGAAAGTCTTGTACAATGAAAACTAAAAAAACATTGCTTAAAGAACTTAAGACATAAATAGAAACACATCCCATGTTCATGAATTGGGAGACAATATTGTTAAAATGTCCAGACTACCCAAAGCAATCTACAGTTTCAATGCAATCCCAATTAGAAACCCAATGACATTCTTCACGGAAATAGAACAAAGGATACTAAAATTCATATGGGGCAACAAAAGACCTTGAATAGCTAAGCGAGTCCTAAGAAAAAACAACAAAGCTGGAGGCATCACAATCCATGACTTCAAAATATACTACAAAGCTATAATAATTAAAACAGCATGGTACTGGTACAAAAACAGACACAGATCAATGGAACAGAATTGAAGCCCAGAACTAAAACCACATATCTACAGACAGTTAATCTTCAACAAAGGAGCTAAGAACATACAATGGAGAAAGGAAATCTCTTCAATAAATGGTGCTGGGAAAACTGGACAGCCACATGCAAAAGAATGAAAGTAGGTTATTTTCTTTTGCCATACAAAAGTTAACTCAAAATGGATCAAAGACTTGAAGAAAAGACCTGAAACTATAAAACTCCTAGAAGAAAATATAGGCAGTACACTCTTTGACATTGGTCATAGAGGGATCTTTTCGAATTCCATGTCTACTCAGATGAGGGAAACAAACGAAAAAATAAACAAGTGGGATTTCATCAGACTAAAGAGCTTCTGCAAGGCAAATGAAACAAGGATCAAAATGAAAAGACAACCCTCCAGCTGGGAGAAAATATTTGCAAATCATATATCCAAGAAGGAGTTAATCTCCGTAATATATAAAGAACTCACACAACTGAACAACAAAAAAACAAACAACCAATTAAAAAATGTGCAGAGGATGTGAACAGATATTTTTCCAAGGAAGATATACGGACGGCCAATAGGCACATGAAAAGATGTTCAACATCACTAATAATCAGGGAAATGCAAATCAAAAGTACACTAAGATATCACCTTACACCTATTAGAATGGCAATAATCACCAAGTCAAAAAATAACAAATGTTGGAGAGGTTGTGGAGAAAAGGGAACCCTCATTTGCTACTGGTGGGAATGCAAACTGGTGGAATGGAATGGAAAACAGTATGGAAGTTCCTGAAAAAATTAAAAATAGAAATCCAGTAGGTTACTTCCTAGATCTATTTATACTTTGTAAGTACAGGAATACCTGTGGTACTAAGTATTTTTAATAGAAAATTCTTTTCCAGTTGCCCACCTTTGTAATCAAATTTTTCTGAATGAATGTTTTACCTTTGGTCACCTGTTTGAATTTAAAATGCATAATTGTAATTAAAGCTGAGTGAAAGTTTATACTGAAAAAAAAAAAAAAGAAAAAAAAAGAAATACCTTATGATCCAGCTATCCCACTACTGGGTATTTATCCAAAGAACCTGAAATCAACAATCCAAAGAGGCTTATGCACCCCTCTGTTCATTGCAGCATTAGTCACTATAGCCAAGAAGTGGAAGCAACCCAAATGTCCCTCGACTGATGATTGAATAAAGAAGATGTTTATATATACAATGGAAAACTACTCAGCCATTAAAAAAGACAAAATTGTCCCTTTTGCAACAACATGGATGGACCTGGAGGGTATTATGTTAAGTGAAATAAGCCAGACAGAGAAAGACAAACACCATATGATTTCACTCATATGTGGAAGATAAACTAACACATAGACAGAGAGAACAGTTTGGTGGTTACCAGGGGAAGGGGCGAGAGGGGCGTATTTATATGGTGACTGACAAACAATAATGTACAACTAAAATTTCACAATGTTATAAACTATTATGACATCAGTAGAAAGAAACAGTTCCAGCAAAGTAGATTTAAAAGAGTCTATATGATCAATAGCTACTCTTGCTGTACTTATGTAAATAATTGGATCAAGTTTTATTGAAACGACTTATTTTGCAAACCAGTTAGTCTTAATTTGGCTATCTTTTATAAAAAATGAGGATGATTTTAGAGAAAAATTATGTTTCAGTAGACACTATAGTACACATTCATGGATATTAGATTCTAGTTCTGTTAATTTTCTTTGAGGTTTTTGTTTTATATCTGTTAACTGGACTGGATCCTGAATTCTTCTAGTCTCCTGAAATATCTGGCTGCAAATCTCCAAACTAACGTTTTCAATTTTTTCCATCATTTTCATTTGGAATCATTGAGAACTGAACCTACTTTTTCCTGAAGCCTTGCAAACTGAAGGTGGAGGACTTGATATAAACCTAAGAGAGATTCATGTCTGTTGCTATGTAAGCCACTGAGAAAAATACCTGAATACCCAGTGACATCATCAGAGACATTTCAAACTGCAAAAGATACTTCGACTCTGGCATCTAGAAATCTTTTTGACTGGCTGCCCCCTGGGCTCAGAAACTGGTTTATAATTTGCTCCCACCATTAACCTTGTTGTTCTTTTTGTCTCCGGAAATGCTTCTTATTAAATACCTGGTTACTTGCTTACACAATATAGGCCTAACTTTGGGAGCCCACTTGCATCACTGTCTTACTAAGAGACTGGTTCAATAAGATGGAACAACAGGATATCCTTCAGATTGAGGGATGAACAACAAAAGGGGGGAATCGATACCAGTGAAACTGGCAAACAGTTAGCCAATGATGATTAAGTAACTAGGAACTAAAGGTTTTTTTTTTCCTTTTTGCAATTACTGATTGTAGTTTTTAGTTGTTCCCCTGCCCATTGTTAACTGTGCTGTTTGGGCAATATGCTATCTGACTCCCACTAGGTTCCTATAGATAACATCTCCTTGAAGCCTGGGTCACCACGGTAATGGATGTTTGAGCTGATTTTCAGGAATTAGAACTCCTTGTCCACTTCAGGCCTGTTGAGACCACCAACTCATCAACTGGGCCCACACAGATGTCCGATAAGCAACCTTTTGATGTCAAGAGGCTAAAAACTCCGCCTTCAGATCATGCCAACGCTGCCATTTTGTGAACATGCGTCCTATGAAGAGGCATGAAGTCTGACTACGCTTGTGCAGATCATCAATTACCTCACTCTCCTCACCTCCAATCATCTATTTCCACATTTCAGATCGCCTTGCCCCTTACCCCCTAAATATCCCTGAGTCCCTATTTCTGGGGAGGTGGACTCGACACTTGTTCTCCCATTTTCCTCACTTGACTGCCTTGTGATTAAACCCTCTCTCTCTTTGCAACCTCATCATCTTGGTGATTGGCTTTTCGGGCTGCAAGCAAATACAGACCTGGTGCAGTAACACCAGCTCTACACAAGGTTGACATAAGAGAAGCCATACTGTAGAAAACAAACCCTATTGTAACTTTGAATACTTCTGATTAACTAACTCAGACATGCTCTGTAGATTTTATGGCTCCTCCTAGCTGCTGTAAGTTGATAATTTTGTTCTTTTGAGTTCCTTATGAATGTGATGACCCCTGGGGTAGAGAGTCTATGCTGATAGCCATTATCAATGACAACCCAAAGATCAGGGTATAGGGCATTGCTGTGGTCTCTGACGCATATCCAGTAAAACAAAAGACTATAAGGAACTAAGACCAGATGTCTGCCACTACCCGGAGATCAGATGGATGCCCCCACCCACAGACCAGATGCTTCCCCTACCCAGAGACCAGCCCCTTATATAACTGGCCTATAGTCTTTGTTCTGGAAGATGGTTCTTTCAGACATTAGTTGGCCATCTTCCCCCTTGCTAGCAAGCTGTAATAAAAATTCCTTTCTCTCCTATCACCTTGCCTCTTGACTATTGGCATGTCTTGCCACCGGCAGATGAGGCCACTTTGGGCAGTAACAACCTCATTATCCTGGGAGCTCCCTGGAGACAAGGACTGTATCTCATTTCTATCTCTACCCTCAGCCTAGCACAGTTTGATATTTAGTTCATGAAATGATTATTAAAATTGATCTGAATGATCTTAATTCATTCTCATAACCCTTTGGAGACTTTAACATTATTACTTCAATCTTACAGACGAGGAACACACATGCACAGTTTGAGTACTTTGCAGTCACACAAGTAAACGGCAGAAGTGGGACTATAATCCAGCCCTTCTGATTCTAAACCACTGATTTACTGATATTGTCCTCCACTCCCTCCAAGATGTTTGCCTGGGCCCTCTCCTCCTCAGGATATCAGCTGAATGTTTCAAACGACTTTAAAGTTAGCAAAGGTCAACGGCCGGTGGGCACATGCGTCTCTCCCTTTTCCCACGGTAGGAAAAGAGAGACCTCCTCTTTCCCTTCCGCTTTGCCGGTCTTTTGGCCCCAGCGACTCGCCATCGCCTGTGCGGAGGCGTTCACTAGTTGGGGTGATGGCTACTGGAACGCCGGATTCGCAGGCGCGATTCGGCCAGTCTGTGAAGGGGCTTCTCACAGAAAAGGTGAACACCTGTGGTACTGACGTGATCGCGCTCACCAAGCAGGTGCTGAAGGGCTCCCGGAGCTCCGAGGTGAGCTGGGAGTGGACTCTCCAGGCCTAATGCTCCAGGGACTCCCCATCTTTCATAGCTGTGGGAGGAGGGTCGCGTTGCATCCTGGGAATTGTAGGCTGCGAACTGGTGCGGGAGACTAGAAGTCGTTCGTGGAGGGCGCGTGTTGTATTCTGGGATCTGTAGTTCTTTGGGTCGGACTAGCGGTGTATGGGAGTAAAGAAACGAGATCATGGGAGTCTGTGCTTTAAAGCGGAGATTGCCGCCCGACGGTGAATGAGATAGAAGTCCTAACCAGTTCCTCATTTGTTTCTCGGGGTTGTCGCTAGTGAAGATCTGTCCCTTTCGGCCCTCAAATTCCGCATGATTTTGCCCTCAACAACCCAGATTCTTTCCACACTTTTGTGCATCATCTGTCTATAGATTTATTCTTTTCTAACTTCTTTCTGGCCACATTCTTGTTTCTCTTTTTTAGATTAGCTATCTCCTTTGCCCTGATTTCCCCCTCATCATCCTCTGGCTGGTTCCGTGAATGGAATTATTTGATGGCTGTTCACACCAGAAAGCTTGATATGTGTACATTCTGTCTCTCTCCAAAAAAAGACCTATCCATTGTACTCCTAGATATTCACCCAAAAGAAATGAAAATATATGCCCACACAAAGACTTGTACATGTTCATAGCACCTTTATCCATGATAGCACCAAACTGGAAACAACCTAGATGCCCATCCACAAACAAAATGGGTCTAATGATCCAGCCATTCCCCTCCTAGATTTTTACTCAAGAGAAGTGAAAACATGACCATTATTTTATTACACAAACCAACCATGCACAATACATACCATCTAAGATTTCCAGTTTTGGTTTCTTTAAATGGAACAACATCTTGAATACACCTGTAAAAAAATCTGAGTACATGTCTTTTTAGACTTCTTTGAATTTCTCCTGCAGGCCTTTACTATTGTCTTGCTCATAATTAACTCAATAGCAGCGTGTCTTAGCTACTTATCTTCAACAGGTGTTTCTGATTTCAATTTAGTTTTCATAACCATAGCAACTTTCTCTTTTTAAACTCGTATTTCATCAGTTTCTATATTATTTCATCAAGTTACATAGTTGCAGTAGCAAGAATAATATGTGCACGAGTCTTTGGACTTGTATATGAATGTTCATAGCAGCTTTATTCATGTTAGTTTAGGGTCTGGTAGAATTGTCTTTGCAGAATTAGCTTTTGTGTTATGTCCTTAGCTTTTATTGATAGTGGCTACAAGAAAGTCTTTGCATTTACCATAAGGCTATTGTTGAAGTCATTGATCTGGTGATCCCAAATATGCTTTGTGTGAGGTCCCCACATGATATGCTTTTTTTAGGATTCAGTATCAGAGGAAAGTATCTTTTTTGAAGAATAGTTATAGTGCCTTTTACCAAATAAGAATTATGCAACTCATTGTGTTTCACTTTTTGCCTTGGTTGCACAGAAGTTCCTATGTCAGTTTTAGTGGTAGACATATTTACTTCCTTCTCCTTTTCATGGCTTTTAGATTCTGTTTAAAAAACATGTATATATATATATGTGTGTGTGTGTGTGTAAATATGTGTGTGTGTATATATATGTATATACATATACATATATACACACAGACACACGTGTATTTGGTTTGGTATAAGTTGCCTTGAATCTTTTTTCAAAGAAATAGTATAAATATATAAATGTAAAAAAATAGATGGTGTTTACAGTTAACCACCAGTATGTATTGAACATCCATATTCATCATAATAAACTTACGTTTATTGACTATCTGCTGTGTGCTAGGCACTGCTGTGTTTTCTGTAGTTTAATTCATGAAGTCCTTTACAAATACTAATAAGAAGGTAATTTTCTTGCAAAGAGGATATAGAGAGGAATTTAACTTGTCTAAGGTAACACAGTAGCTAGGAAGGGGTAGAGCTAGGATTCAGACCTAGGTGACCGGTTCTAGGCCCATACTCCTGGGCACCACCTTTCCTGTGGTACTAGCTGGATTAAGTGGCCAAAAAGCCGCTGTACCATTATTGATTGCCCTAATATGGCTTACTCCTTCCCCTCCCTTGTGTATTTTTCACATGGGCTTCTTCTGTAGTAGATTTAGAGTGGGTGCTCAGTAAGGGGGTGGATTGAGTTAAACTGAAATCAGTCCAGCTTTCTGGGACAGGGTTGATATGTCATCTCTCAATTCTCTGAACTTTATCTTTTTACTAGATCTCTTACATGCCGCTTGTCACATACCATATTGCCTTTTTTAATAGTTACTTGTATATTTTTGCCATTTCTTTTACTAGACTATGAGGTTATTGGAGTGTCTTATTGATTTTCAATCCTTCTTAGCCCACAGAGCATTTCTTCTCTCTAGCAGTCTCCACATAGCTATTTTGTTTGATTAGCTGACAGTTTCCAAGTGTAAAACACTCATTCCACAGCATTCACTTAACAAATATTTATTGAGTGTCTGCCATGTGCCAGGAACTGTTCTAGGTACAAGTGAGAGGGCAGTAAACAAAACTAGGTCCCTGTACTTAGAAGCTTACATTTTAGTGAAGAGACAGACAAACAAATGAAACAAAAAAATCAGGTGGTAATAAATGCTATGAAGAAAAAGAAAGCTGGGAATAGAGGGATGAAAGGGTTTACCTTAAATAGAGTGGTCAGGGAAGGGTTCTCTAAGGAGGTGACAGTTGAGCAGACACTTGAATGAAGTGAGGGAGCAAGCCATATGGACATCTGGAGGCAGAGAGTTCCAAGTAGAGGAGGTGGCGAATGCAAAGATCTTGAGATGGGAATGTGTGCAGGAATGCAAGAAAGCCAGTATGGCTGGAGCACAAAGTGAGGGAAAACATACCAGCTTTTGCCCACAGCACCGTGAATGCTTGTGACACCTGCACATCTGCTCTGCCAGTTGAGTTGTGTGCTTAGTAAGAGTCCATTGTGTTTTTCTAAACTGATGTAAGGCACTTATACTTGCTATTGCAATACATTAGTTAATGAAATAATGTGGAAAATGATGAAATATGAGTGCAAAAAGAGGGTTGCTATTGCTATGAAAATTAAGTTAAAAATCAGAAATACTTGTTGAAAATGAGTAGTAAGCCAAACTGCTATTGAGTTAATTATGAGCAAGACAATGGTAAAAGCCTGGGGGGAAAATATGTAGAAATCTAAAAAGTTCTGTACTCAGACAGTTTTACAGGTGTATTCAAGATGTTGTTCCACTTTAAAGAAACCAAAACTGGAAATCTTAGATGATATGTTATGTGCGTGGTTGGTTTATGTAACAAAATGATGGAGAATGCCAATGAATACTGTCATCAAAGAAAAGGCCTTGGCCTTACAACAGCCCCTGCATTCCAGGCAGTCACATGTCCCCCGAGTCTATCTTCTAAATGTCTCTCAACGCCCCCCCCCACCCGCTTTTTTTTTTACTGCCACTTCTGTGGCTCAGGCCACTCTCATTGCTTGCCTAGAATACTGTAAGGTTCTCCTAACCAATCTCTCTGCCTTCATTCCCCCCTCTAGTCCATTCTGCTTACTACACTGTAAATCTGATCATGCTACTTTTCTGTAAAATTACACTTAAGAGGTATTCTAAACCCCAGCCTTCAGATCTCAGCTTAGAAGTCACTTCTTTTAGGAAGTCCTCCCTAAACACCTACTCCTGTAATGGGTTAGACAACCCCACCCCCACCCCCAGCACCCCCCACTCCCAGGGCATCGAGTGCTTCCCCGTCAGCATGTACCACAAAGTATTCATTCTAGTGCCTGTGTCCTCTTTGTTACCCCAGATTATGAGCCTCTCAGGACAGGGGCTATGTCTCTTACTGGCATATCATAAGCACTTAATATTTATTGGATGACTAAGTGAATGAATGAGGTAGATTCTGTTAGAACTCTTTCTTTCTGCCATCAGTTTGTCAGTCACCATCCCTCAACTATAGGAGTTTGGAGTTTGCCGCTTAGAAGTGGCCACAAGGGGGAATAGGCACTCTCATTCTTTGCGGATGGGAATGTAAAATGGTATAACATTAATGGAGGGGAATTTGGCAATATGTAGCAAAATTAAAACCCTCTGATCCAGCAATCACAATCACGATTCTATGAGTCTATCCCAAAGATATGCTGGCAAAAATATATCAGGTATTTTTTGTAGCACTACGTATAATAGCAAAAGACTGGAAGCAGCACCAAAGTCAACAGTGGAGGACTGGTTGAATAATCTTATGGGACATCTTTGCAGTGGAGTACTCTGCAGCTATAAAAGAGCAATGAGGAGATTCAATATATATTGCTGCAGATCCATCTTAGGATGTATTGTCAAGTGAAAATAGCAGGGTATGGAAGAGGGCGAATAGTATGTTATATTTTAAGTAAGGGAGGGGGAGAATATTTACATATGTCCATTGTTTTCAAAAGAAACAATGGTGGCTGGTCCAGTGGTGTAGTGGTTCACCAGTTCGGATCCTGGGCGCGGACCTACTCACCACTCATCAAGCCATGCTGAGGCAGTGTCCCACATAGAAGAACTAGAAGGACCTACAACTAGGATGTACAACTATGTCCTGGGGCTTTGGGGAGAAAAAAGAAAAAAAGGAAGATTGGCAACAGATGTTAGCTCAGGGCCAATCTTCCTCAAAACAAAACAAAAAAATCCCGAACTTCATATGATTAAAAAAAAAAAAGCAGCAATGGAAAGATAAACCAAAAACTAATAAAAATATTTGTGCATAGGAGAGAGGAAAAAAAGAGAGGGAAAGGCATAGAGTTAGAAGGTCTTATTTTATTATTTTGACTTTACAAGCATGTAAGTGTTTATTAATTTTAAAACTTACATTAAAAAGAGAAATAAATTGAGGCAGGCCCCATGGCATAGTGGTTAAGTTCGTGCACTCTGCTTTGGTGGCCCAGGTTCACAAGTTTGGATCCCAGGCACAGACCTTCACCACTCATCAGCCATGCTGTGGCAGCGACCCACATACAAAATAGAGGAAGATTGGCACAGATGTTAGCTCAGGGCGAATCTTCCTCAAACAAAAAAAAAAAAGAGGAAGATTGGCAATGGATGTTAGTTCAGGGCGAATCTTCTTCAGCAAAAAAAAAAAAAAAAGAGAGAGAGAGAGACGGGCCGGTCCGGTGGTGCAAGCGGTTAAGCGCGCGTGCTCTCCTGCGGCGACCGGGGTTTGCGGGTTTGGATCCCAGGCGCGCACTGACGCACCGCTTGTTGAGCCATGCTGTGGCGGTATCCCATATAAAGTAAAGGAAGAAGGGCATGGATGTTAGCCCAAGGCCAGTCTTCCTCAGCAAAAAAAGAGGAGAATTGGCAGATGTTAGCTCAGGGCCGATCTTCCTCACAAAAAAAAAAAAAGAGAGAGAAAGAGAGAAATAAATAAATAAAAGTTGCTGTGGGGGAAGGAATCTGGGGCCTGTAGCAGTGTCCCCTTTCACGAGAATCTCTCTGACCCAAGGAACAGAGAAGGATACACGTAACAGTAGCTCTCTTTACATGGCTGGACTTCATGTCCACCATGAACAGGGTGCAACAGTAGGCCAGAAACCTCTGCTGATCTCTTCTTGCCTCTCAGTGCTCATTGAGTCAGGTCTCCTTTAATATGGGCCACCCTGCTGAGTCAGAGCCCAGCTTTCCTCTCTTGGTCTTGGGGCCCCACTATCAGTGAACTCACGAAAATCTGCTTCCACATTCTCCTTTCTTTTCTCTTCCCCAGCCCGATCTGGCCATCCTTCATGTGGTGGTTTCCCACTTGAAACCCCAAGCTTCTTCCCATGCCACTTTTTTCTCTGTCTCTCTCATTCCATTTCTTTATTTTATTTTATTTCTTTCCCCCAAAGCCCCAGTAGATAGTTGTATGTCAAAGCTGCACATCCTTCTAGTTGCTGTATGTGGGACGCGGCCTCAGCATGGCCAGAGAAGCGGTGCGTTGGTGCGCGCCCGGGATCCGAACCCAGGCCGCCAGCAGCAGAGCGCGCGCACTTAACCCCTAAGCCACGGGGCCGGCCCTCTCATTCCATTTCTAAACAGCTACATTCCTTCTGTCCTTTTCAATCCTACCCTAAGTCTTGCTCCCTCACTCCCGTCAAACCGTCCCAAATCTCAAATTGGTCTTAAAGAATCAGAAGTTCGGTTCTCCCCGGGCTTGTGGAGCCAAAGTTTTTTTGCAGACGTCTCCTCTCGGCGCTTGAGTAACAAGCTGTGCAGAGAGCTCAGCAGTTATGGGGCTCTTGATTTCTCAGGCAGTGGCCTTTGGAATAGATGTCGACCCCATGCCAGAACTGCCATAGTGACGAGATGAATTTTCAACATGAACAAATGGAAAATTATCCTCTGTTACATGTGGAGTGTTTGTAGTTGTATGGGGTGGGGTGGTGGGGCAGGGGAGAGGGCAGTGGTATAACAGCTGTAGAGCGAAGATTACAGGAAGTTTGGAAATTTTGATTATTACCATTTTATTTTTGTCTTCCAGCTGCTGGGTCAGGCAGCTCGAAACATGGTACTACAGGAAGATGCCATCTTGCACTCAGAAGATGTAAGAAACAATTTCTTTTATGAATTGGGTTTTATATACATCATTTATGTGGCTACAAGAGAATTGGAATGTTCTATTTCTCTTTTTTTTTTTTTTAAATGCAGAGTTTAAGGAAAATGGCAATAATAACAACACATCTTCAATACCAGTGAGTATGCTCTCTCCAGTGACCACTTGCTACAAAGTCATTATCCTCAGGCTGCTGCTCGTTGCCTTTGTGCTTTGGCACATTTTCTTCTGGAGGCAAGAGTTGGGAGTAAAGGTAGGGTTAGTCAAGGATGAGTTCCCTCTGGAAAAGATGCCTGAGACTGCAGAAGTTGGGGTAGGAGGTGAGATCTGGAGCAGGGACCACCTTTTGTGAACCTCTCTGTGTTCATTTGAGGGCTCCTCAGAGGGAGAAACTGTACACCCCATAAGAGCAGGGCCCATGCCAGGACCGTGTTAGCACAATGCTTGACACCTAGTGGGCACTTAATCAGTATTTGTTGACTGTGCCCGAGAGGTTTCTCCTGGGGCATTTGTTCCTTCACGAGGGAATCAAGTGTAATTGTGACCTGTACCTCACATGTAACCCAGCCCTAGCTACATGTAAATCATCCAGGAGATTTTGAAATACAGAGACTTCTTCTTTATTGTAATTTTGGATAAAATTATAATTTAATTAGCTTTTCATGTTACTTCATTTTGTTTCATATTTTATGTAGTTAATATTATATTTATGTACCTATTGGAAATGTATGATTGGGAATTTAACTCTTGATATTTAAATAGCTAGATGTTCATTCTTTGGATGTGTACATATCAGATATTTGACCGTTTGACTCCACATATCCAAGCTGAATTTGAGCCATGCATGTAGTTTGTTGGACACATTCCTCACTCTGATAGAGTATTATTACCTCTTGAGGTTTAGAATCCATCCTTTCAGCATGGAATCCATCCACTCAAATCTTGAACAGTGGTTCAATAGCACAATCTTCGGATAGGATGGACAGAAATATAGGATGTGACATAAGCTGGAAATTGTTTTGCCTATATATGTCTGGCCACAAATAATTTCTGCTAGTTCACTGAGTTTTCTTATATTTATTTTCCTCTTTCCTTTTCTGATTTAGGCAAGAAGCTATTCAGAAGAAGTAAGTAGCCCCAAAGGTAGGGGAGTGGGGGACCAACTGAAGCAGGCTAGGGGGAATTATACTGCTGGGCCTAGGATCAGTGAAAAACTCTGCTTGACATATGCCCTTAAATTGACGTATGCTCTGGGATACCTCATTTGGGACAGTATATTTCAAAGACGTGCAGTAAGTCAATTCACTGCTAGTAAAGGCTTTCTAAAAGTTACAGGGTGTAGAAACCAACCTTAAGGAGTAGAAATCCTTTTACCTTGGTAATATTCATTAAGTAGAGTAAATGTGCTAAAGTCATTAAACAGCCTTTTTTTTTTAAGTGGATTAAATCTGACCCTTGCAATATTGTTTACACTACTAATTGGCTTTACAAAACTTTCTTCCTAGTTTAAACACTTCTGGAACCTTAGTGGGCCAATATAAATTTCATTTAGCTTTAGCAGTACTTACGCATTAAAGTACAAATGGTTTGTACAAAGAGATGTCTTTACTGTTCATTCCAGATAAACCTGTTTCTCTATTCTAATTTCTAGTGTTGAGCAGTCATCAGATCTACAGGACCAGTTGAATCATCTGTTGAAATAGAACGGCTTATAAGAGGGCTAAAGCACTGATGCTGAGGAGGCAATATCTTACACAGCCATTGTGCTGTGGGTTTGGTTTTCCATCTTCTCCTCCAAAAGTTAAATGAGAAACGATTTGTGGTGATGTCTAGTTTCTCCTGCAAAGAAGCTAGGTGCTTGAATTCTGGAAGCACTTCTTGAATTGGACTAACTCATGCCCTTATTGAGTTTTTAAGTTGCTCTGTTTAGTTTGATATTAAAGCAAAATTAAAAGATGTCTTAGAACTTTAATATGTCAAAAGCCATATTGTCTGAATGTGATCCTTAAGCAAATACTGAGTAATGTTTTAAATTCACAAATAGAGCTTCTTTTGTGAACACATAAGAATGATTAATTTGCTTTTTAGACTTTTTTTCTTTTAATCATACATTCAGAAAATATTTTAATTTCATGGTCACAGAATGGTGATAGGTAATACCTTTTGTTTTCTTTTCTTTTCTAGTAGTTCAGAAGAGATACTTGTTTTATTCATTGTAGCAAATTCCCAAGTGAAAATTAGGCAAATGGTATCATATCCGGGCAGCTGCAACCTCCTGCCTTGACCTGCATTCCTAGTGTTTCTTTGTTGTTGTGACTCTTGATTAAGTGGCCTTGAGTTCATTTTGTAATTTTGCTAATCATCAGCAAATTCACTTGTATGACATTGTTGCCAAATGCAAAGGCAGCTGAATTCCTGTAATTGCAGTGTAGGGTTGTGCCATAGTGGAAACCTTATGTTTGTAGACATTTACCTCTGTTCATTGAATGCATCTTGTTAAATGGCATTACCATTGTCTCCTGTGAAGTCTGAATATCTTTAACTTTGTTTGAATTTAAAACTGTTCTAGTTCAGTTCTTAATTTTCTAAGGGATTGGGAGAAATCTGACATAAGAAAATGGTGTTTTCACTGAAGGAAAAAAAAGCAAATAAGAGTCCAGCTTAATTCATATTGTATATCGTCAGGTTGACCAATCATATCAAATTGCATTTATCCCTCTTTATACATATGCATATTAACGTGTGGTAAAAAAAAACCCAAAAACCTAGGTATGAAGGAATTCACTTATGCATTCATTCTGTAAACATTTATTACAACTATTAGATGTAAATGGTCTCAATTTACCTTTAAAAAGAAGGGTTGCCAATTTAGAAAACAAAACAAAGTCTAATCATCCAAGTACACGAGAAGCAAAGAAATACTTAAGATGAAAAGAAAATTAAAATAAAGCTATGATCTAAGTTTTCTTCATCATGCTAGAAAAATATTAAAGAAGCAATGATTGCTTACATTGTATCTGATAAAATAAATTTCACAATCAAAATATTAGTGGTAAATAAAGATAAAATTTACGTTAAATAATGAAAACCTAGTAGTACTGAATTTAGTCATTTTAAAGAACATAATGCCAAATACATGAAAGAAAAGTTGCCAGAAATGTGAGAACAGGCAGAAATATATACATAATTTGATAGTTTGTTTTTTATAGAAATGAACAGCTTATGTAGAGTTAACTGGTGATCAAATATATGGAAATAAATTCTTCTTTAAATAACATCTGGGTTATAGAAGACATACTAGAGGATATTATTATTATTATTATTTTTGTGAGTATAAATGCATTTTTATTCTTTTTTATTTTTTTTTTGTACATCATTATACTTCTATTTCTGCATAGATTACATCATGTTCACCACCAAAATACTAATTACAACCCATCACCACACACATGTACCGAATTATCCCTTTCACCCTCCTCCCTCCCCCCTTCCCTAGAGGATATTATTTTTAAGATAATGGAAATTCAGATTCCATGCAAGAAAATTTATGTGATGATACCAAAGCAGTGCTATAAAGAAAAAAAATCATGCTTTAAATCTCTATATTAGGGATAAGGGTGGAAATAAACATTTTCATTTTTTAAGGGGTATATGGTTAGAATTTAGAAAGAGAACAAAAGAAATCAAAATGGAAATAAGAAAATCAATAATGAATGACAAAAATTAGAAAAATATATGAAACCATTAATTGGTTCTTATACATTAAATTGGTAAAGTGACAGCTAAATCATAAAAGTACAAATTAGTAAATTTATAATTGAGTGGGAGATACATAAAATAAATCAATTAGATCTGAAAAGAGTTATCTGTCAGCTTGATGCTAAAAATTTGATTACCAGTATCGAAATGTCTGGCTCCCTATAAAGATATAATATTACAAAACTGACATTTAAAAGAGAATATGTCCAGACTCATTATGAGAAATAATCCATAAATTGTCAAAGAATAACAAATTAAAATACTGTTTGCTTGTGATGGTTTTCCTGAGACTTTTCCAAACTGTCAACGAACAAATCATTTCCATATACTTCCAAAGTATTGGGGCCGGCCCCGTGGCTTAGCGGCTAAGTGCGCGAGCTCCGCTACTGGCGGCATGGGTTTGGATCCCCGCGCGCACCGACGCACCACTTGTCCAGCCATGCTGAGGCGGCGTCCCACATACAGCAACTAGAAAGGATGTGCAACTATGACATACAACTATCTACTGGGGCCTTGGGGAGAAAAAGGGAAAAAAAGGAGGAGGATTGGCATGGATGTTAGCTCAGGGCTGATCTTCCTCTCACACACGCACAAGCACAAAAATAAAGTATAGAAAATGGTAGTAAGATACTCAATTCATTTGCTGAAGTAAATGTGATTTTCCTTTTAAAAAATAAAAAGCAAGATGACACAAGGAAATTTAGGAGAGTCTTATTAACAGAGCAAAAATCCTAATAAAATCTCAAAAAATTGAATAGAGAAATATTTTGAAGAATTACATAATTCCGGAATCACAAAGGTGATATAACAGCTGCAAAAACAATTAATAAAAAACAATAAAATCTTATCTCGCTGTAATGTACACCAAAAAGGCATTTGAAAAAAATTCAATTTCTATTTTTACTTAAAACTAAAAAAAAGGGAATTTCTTTCTAAAAGAGTATGTTTTAGGGCCGGCCCCGTGGCTTAGCGGTTAAGTGCGTGCTCTCCGCTGCCGGCGGCCCGGGTTCGGATCCCGGGTGCGCACCGAGGCACCGCTCCTCCGGCCATGCTGAGGCTGTGTCCCACATACAGCAACTAGAAGGATGTGCAGCTATGACAGACAACTATGTACTGGGGCTTTGGGGGAAAAATAAATAAATAAAATCTCAAAAAAAAAAAAAAAAAAAAAGTATGTTTTAAAAACCAAGAACCAACATAATATTTGCTGAAGAAGAAAGAATCATAGAACCCCAGGATATTAGAGCTGTATTGGGGCCTCAAAAGTTATTAAATTCTGGCCCCATGTTTTACAGGTGAAAAAACATAGCCAGGAAGATGAAATGACTTAGCCGAGGTCAGTGAGCTTGATGGTAGATCTTTTAACTACTAATCTAGCTCTCTATTATCTGTTACTTCCCTTATGAATAGACAAAGGTGCTACCTGTCATTTCTAGTATTTAACATAATACAAAAGAAAGGATCTTGGCAGTAATTGAATCCAATCCATTTACTCCTGCTGCTGCACCTCTGGCAAGTAAACTTTGAGCTGGTCAACTAGATTCTGCTTGAATGCTTCCAGTGTTTGGAGAATCCTTTACTTAGGGATGCTGGCCATTTTGGAAAGCTCTACTTCTTGAAAGATGGTTCTGTGTGCTGAACCAAAATCTGCTTTCTGGACCATCCTGGAATTGTCAGACCAGTAGCTTCCAAGGTGGGATATGTGGAGGCATGCACAAGGCCATCCTTGGAGGTAAGGGAAGAAAATATGAAAATTTCTATGTATGTTTATTTTTTATCTTAAAAGAAAATTAGCTTTTGCTAATATTTAAAATATGGCTTGATATGAGAGCACTAATTTGGTCTATGTAGCATACGGATCCACATAGCATACGTATCATTTAACAGGGGTGATATTAAACAAGAAACTGTGGTTGAGGCACTGACCAATCAGTATGGATGATGGTCACAAGCCATCAGGTCCAAAATCAGCCCTGAGGGAAAACGGAATAACTCGATTTTGGTTGATGGTGGTTTGCCTTATTGCAGTTTATTTGTGTGTGGTTAAGTGGATTTAAGGCTTATCAAATGGTTCTTGTGAGTAACTACAAATTGAAGATAATATAATAAAGCAAGTATGAGTGAACAAGTAGGAAATGATCGAGCCCTTTCCTCAACCTCCCTCTAATCTGTCGTTTCAAGATAAAGATAGCATTTTAACAATGAGTGAGAAAGAGCTTTTCTAGAGGAACTAATTTCATGGAGAGAGTATCTTGAAAACTGATATTTAGGAGTGTTTTCACTGTTATATGATTGTCAAAAAACTGATACCTATAAAAACACTTATTTTTACACACTTAGTAGTTGGAAATATTCTAACATAAAAATATTCCAAGAAAGATTGTTTCCATGGGTTTAATTTATTAAAAATATAAATATATAACACCTTCCTATTAACATTTAACAAGAACTAATTGACATCAGGGAAGATCATTATTGGCAGATGAGATTGAAAAATGAGTATAATTTAGTTAATCTTCCATTTAGATATCCTTTCACTTGGAACCCCATATCTCCTTACCGTCCTAATGAATAGAAATGCTTATTACAACCACAGAAGGAAATACGATATACAAATATAGCGGTGGAAGAAAAAATAAATTAAAAACAAACTTTCTGAAGATGAAATGACGATACCTAGAAGACACAATTGAATTGACCAAAAATTACTAGAGGTTAAAAATTGTTAGCAAAGTTGCTTTCCTAAATACAATTCAAAATAGACGGAGAATGGCTACATACTATATGTTTCCATCTCTGTGACATTCTAGAAAAGGAGGGAGAACAGATCTATAGTTCTTTAGGAGCTGGGGGTGGGAGGAAGCGATTTACTACAAGGGGGCACGAAGAAACTTTTTTGGGTGAGAGTCTTGATTGTGGTGATGTATACGTTTGTCAGAATTCACAGAACTGTATACTAAAGAAAGGTGAATTTTACTGAATGTAAATTATGTATCAATAAACCTGACCTTAAAAAATAGATTGAGGAAAGGTGATTTCATTTCCAAAAGGGGCAAAAATCATATACGGGTGTTTGTTTAAGTCAGAATAGGAGATTTATAAAATGAAAATCAGAGCGAGCAGTAAAGGAAGATGCTAATTAATAGTAATATCCTCTTCCTGGTTGGAAAGATTAAAGACAGCTAAGATGACTTTGGGCCCAGCAGGGCCAGAAGCGCAGCAAGAGAACAGGTGGTGAGACTGCGCTCGGCTGAGCGTCGGGCTGCAAGCGGCCGTGGGCTCCTGCACCCCCGGGCGGGCCGGCTCAGAGCCCGCCCGGCCGGAGATCGGGCCTGCCTGCCCCGGGGCGGGGCCTCCGGCGCGCTCGGCCTGCGGAGCGGGCTGCGAGGGACCCAAGACCTGGAGTCCGCAGACCGAGGAGACAGTGAGTGTGCCGCTCCGGCCCCCAGGGCAGGACCCCGGCCTTCTGTCTCCCCCTCCACCACCACCACCGCTAGCGCTCCGGGCCTGCCGCCCGCCTCTTAGCCCCGCTCTGTCCCGGCGCACCCCTTGCCCCATGCCCCTGCTCGGCACCCTCGCCTTTCAGCTACCTTTTCCCCTTCCCGGCAGTGGCCGCCCCCCGCGACGCTGAGATCTGGAAGGACGTGCAGGTGAGAGCACTAGGGCCTGGAAAGGCCGAGGTGGATCCTGGGCTGGGTGGGAGTCCTAGGCTCATGGAGGCCCCGCCAGCGCCCCTGCGCCCCCAGGAACCCTGGGGTGGGGGCAGGGCAGAGTCTGGACTCAGAGCTTTGCAGGGAGCAAAGGCCGGCCAGGCCTGGATTGGTGGGGATGGGGCCGGTGGCGCGCATGGGAACCTTCGCATCGCGGACACCAGCTCTAGCTCTTCTCTCACGCCTCACCCCGCCCTTGGCCCTGGGTCAGACCTACTATGGGCAGGTGCTGAAGAAAGGAGCCGACCTCCAGACCAATGCCTGTGTCACCGCAGCCGGGCCGGTCCCCAAGCACATCCGGGAAGCCCTGCAGAATGTACATGAGGAAGTGACCTTGAGGTAGCTTGCCCTGTGCTGCCCCCATGAAGACCCCAGAGAGCATCTTTCTCAAAACATGGTGATGCCAGTCACTAGGGAATTAACTGGTCTCCTCCAATCCATCCCGCTGGCCTTGTCTATCATAAAACTCCTAAATCACAGCACTGGTCACCTTACTGCTCTGTTTAAGAATTCCCAGTGACCCTCCCCACCTCCCTTTACTCCCAGGATACATTCACACTCCTTGGACCTGACATTCAAGACCGTCCAGTAGTTTGACCCTCACTTCCTGAACAACCTTGGCTCCCTCTGATGCACTATATACTATATACTATATACGCTAGCCAGACCCCCTCCTGCCGTCAGCACTGCCAAGATGATTTCTGCTTGCCTAGCATGCAGTTATCAATCTGCAATGCCTTCCCTCTCCTTTCTACCTTCCAAATCCTGCCCACCCAACACCTCATTGGTGTCCTACCTACTTTGTGAAGGTTTCTCCAATCCTTGAGCAACCCCTTCTCCAAACACTACAGCGCTTACTGCCTGTGCCACTCAGTTTATCAGTAAATCGTGGAAAATGTTTTCTGTGCTCATGTGTGCCACCCCAGTTAAATACATCTAGGGGAGAGGACTCTTGTCTGACATTTCTTTGTCAATAACTAGCACAGTCTTGGACCTGCATTAGATGCTCAGCTAATGCGTAAATGTATTTATTCAACAAATATTTTAGATGGCTTATGTGTCTTAGCACAATGCCCAACAATACAATGGTAAACAAAGCAGATAGAGTCTCAGCCTTCATGGAGCTTCCAATTTAGTGGAGGAGACTAAACGCCAAAATAGAAATGGAATGAATGACGGAAGGAAGGAAGGAAAGGAGAGAGGGAGGAAGGATTTATAAGATTTAGTGATTCTACATCTTCCAGTCTCCAGAGGGAAAAAATATGTATATATGTATTTTCTGTTTCCCAGGTATTATGGCTGTGGTCTGGTCATCCCTGAGAGCCTGGAAAACTGCTGGATTTTGGACCTGGGTAGTGGAAGTGGCAGAGATTGCTATGCACTTAGTCAGTTGGTTGGCGAGAAGGGACATGTCACTGGAATAGACATGACAGAAGGTCAGGTAAGGCAATGGTTGGAGGACAAAGAGGAAAAAATTCTTGGAAGCGTTCCTTTAGAGATAAAGTTGTTTCCTTTGTGACTCTTCAAGGATAACTTAAGAAGGTTGCTACATGCAATGCTCATTTGTGCCACTAATGCTTCCTGCCCTGCAAGCTGAGAACTTTCACATTTAGGGGCTCTTCTGGGAGAACACAGAGTCAGAGGTTTGATCTGATATATGAATATCATGATGACCCAATGGAGTTTGATCTTTTCCTTCCTTCTGCCATCTTTCCTACAAGATTTTGTTGTTGAATGAAGAGTTTATTCAAGCAAAACCCATGTATCAAGCAGGGAGTTTGTGCCCCACTGAGTTGTTCTAGGCTGTAGTATATCCTACATGCCCAGAGGAACCTTGTATACTCACCCAAAATAGTCTGGGGGAAATATATTCCATTAGTAATGGGAAGATTTTAGGAAAAAACTAGTGTATTTTACAAAATGATGATTATCAAATCTATGTTTTTCTTCCTTTAGGTAGAAGTGGCTAAAAAGTATATTGACTATCACATGGAAAAATATGGCTTCCAGGCACCCAATGTGACTTTTGTTCATGGCTACATAGAGAAGTTGGGAGAGGCTGGAATCAAGAATGAGAGTTACGATATTGTTATGTAGGTCTATATCCTTACTGGTATGAATATAGCCCATTTCCTATTGAACACACAGATGTCGTCACTTTTTACACTCTCAGTTAGGGTGGTAAACTAGACTTAGCATGAGTTAAGAAACGGAGGGAGCTGGTCTGAGCTTCTTGTAGCCCACCAGCTGCAGAACATACTAACCCAAGAGAGAACTTATTTAAACTTAACCATAAACCAGTGAGCCCAGAAGACCACCAAGACCACAGAGTCTGCTCATACAATACACAGTGACCTGTTATCTTTAATATTATTAAATTATAGCATATTCGCAAATTATAGGATTCTGTGTTTCTCTTTTTCCTTTGAGTTGTTGTTGTCAAATAATGCCCAAATCAGCCTTAATAAAGCTGCCTTGAAGAACTTAGCCTGTTTACATGTGGCAGAAGAAATGCCTTGTGCAGTAGGCACCTGGTCCTGGGTCATTTTGTTGCATGGTGAACACCAGGGCATAAACAAGTGAAAAGTAAGCCTGATTTCTTTTTCTTTTCTTTTTTTTTTTTTGAGGAAGATTCCCCCTGAGCTAACATCTGTGCCAGTCTTCCTCTATTTTGTATGTGGGTCACTGTCAGAGCATGGCTGACAAGTGCTGTAGGTCTGCACCCAGGATCTGAACCTGCGAACCCAGTCTGCCAAAGCAGAGCACACCGGACTTAACCACTACACCACGGGGCCGGCCCCCTGATATTTTTTTCTGTGCACTCAAACTTGCTACCAATTTACTGAGATTTTAAACACTCTGTCCATCTCCCTTACTGTGGGAAGAAGCTGAGTGTGGCGAAGAGAGGAGGGAGGCAGGAAGAATGGTGTAGCTTTGAGGAAATGGTGGGAGCCATCTGGAGGGACTAAAAGGATTTAGAGATCTCTGACCAGTGTGCAGATTTGCTTGACGTTCCATCTGTTCTTTTTCAGATCAAATTGTGTCATTAACCTTGTACCTGATAAACAACAAGTGCTGCAGGAGGTACATCGTGTGTTAAAGGTGAGGGGACAAGGGGGACAAGGTGGGACCTGTCCTGTTCTTGCCCCCTTGAGCTCAGAGCTCAAACTCTCTTAATTTATCCACTAAATTAAAAAGAGGTGGCGCAAAAGAGGAGTGGCAGAAATATCCTAGATATGAATTCTTTATCCTTTCAGGTTGCAGAAGGTAATAAATCTGAGAGTCTGATTGTCATTGGATGTGTTAAAATATTTCTTTTATTGGCTGTCTCTCCTCCTGTTTGCTGCTCTACCTGATCCTAGGACCGCACCTGCAGAGCTGCAGGGACCTTTGGACTGACTACTAAAGGTTGCTATGAATATACTCTTCTAGCTCAAACAGTGTTTCTCAGGGCTACTTATTTCATACCTATCAAGATTCCAGATCTTTGGGAAGTCAAAGAAGATGGAACTTTTACGTCTAAAAGGAAAACTTGCAGGAGCTCCACACCCTCCATGTGTATAATGAGATGGGTATCTTCATGATAGAAGATATTCTGAGATTTTTTTGTTTACAGGGCTGACGTAGATATCAAATAAGAATATCTATGTAGAAATCATTTAATAATGTCTTAATTAGCATGTCATTTTGTAGACCAGCTCACTGTCTTCACCAAGATATACTTGTAAAGGGTAGAGACATTATTGTAGAATCTAGACCTCCATACTCTTGAAATGAGCTAAATAAATCTTAAAATTCCTGATCACTCATATGCCTGAGATTTTAAGGCATATGAAAAAATGTGTTAAAATTATTTTAAAAATATTAAAAAATATATGTTGTCATAAAAGTAAACAGCAGCATTACAAAAAGTTATATAATTTTTAAGGCAGAAGAGTTTATGAATACTATTTTCTACTTCTGTTAATTACAACCTGGGACTGCATTTGGTTCAGAATGGCTAAAAATTTAGGTAACCTGAGTATCTTTATTTAGGAGAGAGACACTCTTGGCAAGCTATCTTATTACCTGTTGGGGAGGTCACTGAAAACTACCTTGGCCCTTGGCTCTTGATCGTAACCAGGGAGGCAGCTATTCAGGTCGAGCACTTCCGTTGGTTTTTTAAATTGATTTTATCCCCTCGTTCCTTTCTTTGCTATCTGGGACTAATGTGATCTTTAACCTTGTTTGGACTAATTCTGCTGTTTCAGCATGGTGGGGAGCTATATTTCAGTGACGTCTATGCTAGCCTTGAATTGCCAGAAGAAATCAGGATGCACAAAGTTTTATGGGGTAAGTGTTTTTTTATTTTGTTTTAAGGCAGATTCTTCTTGTTCATGTACAGAGCTCCATTCTACCAAAACCCAGGATGAGACTTTGTGATGTGGGAGTATGTGGGATTAGGTCAGGAGGCTTAGGTTCCAGTCTTCCTCTGCCACTCAAAAGTGTATGACCTTGGATAATTTAATTAATCTCTTTGAGTCGGTTTCCAAATTGTAAGATGTAGATAATAATGCAATCTGCCTTATCGGGCTGTTATGAAGATTAAATGGGGTAATAAATGTGAAAAATACTTTGAGAACTGTAGTGTGGAAATAAGGGCAACTGGTCCAGAACTGATGCCCTCTAATTGCCTAATGTTCTCATCATCATTGTGTTGTTTATTCCTTTATTTTCATTTTAATGGAGTCTTTGGAAGTTGAGGAGATAAATGCATGCATGTGATCAGTCTGACTAGGGAATCAAAACTTCTTACTTTTATTTTATTTATTTATTTATTTATTTTTGAAGAAGAAGATCAGCTCTGAGCTAACATCCATGCCAATCCTCCTCTTTTTGCTGAGGAAGACTGGCCCTGAGCTAACATCCGTGCCAATCTTCCTCCACTTTATGTGGGACGCTGCCACAGCATGGCCTGACAAGTGGTGCATCCGTGCGTGCCTGGGATCCGAACCTGGGCCACCCGCAGCGGAGCGTGCCCACTTAACCACTACGCCACGGGGCCAGCCCCAAAACTTCTTACTTTTAAAATAAGTCACGTTAACTTTTTTCTTATTATACAATAATCAATGGATATTGTTAAAAAGTTGGAAAATACAAAAAGAAAATGAAAAAATTACTACTAATCACATAACCCAGCAATAACCTCTTTAACATTTTAATATATATCCTTTTAGCTTTTTCTTCTGTGTGTGTATCATAAAATTGGTAGCATGCTATATATAGAATTTAGTATTCTAATTTTATTTAGCATATTTCCTAAGCCTAAAATTTTTTAAAACATTTTTTAAATATTTATATTACACAACTGTACTATACTTTATTTGACCATTTCTCTATTGGCGATAATTTAGGTTGTTCCTGAAGAAGGGGCCTGAAGAATGGTCCCCAGAGACCATTAGCTGGCATAGGTAGTTTTGACCCTGGCTTTCTAGATCTTGGGGGGACACTCAGGTGGTTCTTCTATTTCTAGGACCTATGTTTTAGCTAATACCATATCCTAATCAATTATATAGAAGAGTAATTCCCTTAATACCTAGTTATATTGGTTGGTCTGTGATTTTTCTTTTTTTAGGTGAGTGCCTGGGTGGTGCTTTGTACTGGAAGGACCTTGCCATCCTTGCCCAGAAAATTGGGTTCCGCCCTCCACGTTTGGTCACTGCCAATCTCATTACAGTTCAAAACAAGGAACTAGAAAGAGTGATCGGTAAGGAATAATGGCAGGGAATATTATAACTGCACGCCTAATGGTTCAAACTTGGTGATTAGCAAGTGTTTCATTGAGGGAGACTTTGTATCATCTGGAAATCTCCATCTTGTCTCCTGTTTAATGGCAACCAAAGTTTGATATTTAATAAAGCACTTTGAAGTTACTCAGTAAATAGAGTGAAGTGCCCAGAAAGATAATTGATGGCATGCAAAGAAGAAAATCATCTTTATAATATGTACACTCTTCATCTGCTGAGCAAACCAATAGCTAGCTGTTCGAGTGCTGGAGGTGAAGCTTGAGTAAATTCTGTTTTTAGGTAACTATCGTTTCGTTTCTGCAACATTTCGCCTCTTCAAACTCCCTAAGACAGAACCAGCCAAAAGATGCCAAGTTATTTACAATGGAGGAATCACTGGACACGAAAAAGAACTAATATTTGATGCAAATTTCACCTTTAAGGTACATTGAAATTTCCATGCCTTCTCGCATTCTTTCTACTCTTTTTTTTTTTTCTCCTTTTGGTGAGGAAGATCAGCTCTGAGCTAACATCCATGCCAATCCTCCTCTTTGTGCTGAGAAAGACTGGCCCTGGGCTAACATCCGTGCCCATCATCCTCTACTTTATATGGGATGCTGCCACAGCGTGGCCTGACAAGCAGTGCATTGATGCACGCCCGGGATCCGAACCTGGGCTGCCAGCAGCGGAGCGCGCGCACTTAACGGCTATGCCACAGGGCCAGCTCCCATTCTTTCTACTCTTACCTTTGGTCTAGGTACCTTTTCTTCATGTTGTATTGCTTCTCACTTTTCTGATGTTGGGGTTTATGTGTATGTGTGTGTGTATGTATATATACTTTTGCTGAATCATTAAAAGTAAGTTGCAGACTTCATGAAATTTTACCCTTAAGTATGTTAGCATGCATCTCCTAAGAATAAAATATTCTCCTACATAGCCACAATACCATTATCATACCTAAGAAAATTTTTCATGGCATCATTCAGATGTCAGATTAATGGAATTATAAAGAAGCAGGATGGAAAAGAATAGGAGTACTGCATAATGGTATCGTGGAATTAAGGAATTGTTAGTGTTTAATGATGACACATTGAATTTCTACTACTCTTTGAAGAATAGGCTTTGTTTTCTCAAAGGGAAAAGTAGAGGCTTTGGAATCAGATACCTGGGTTCAAATTCTGGCTTTATATTTATTACTTGGGTAAACTTGAATGAGTCACCAAAATTCTTTGAGATACAGTTTGCTCCACTGTAAAAATAGGGATAATAATATCTACTTTGCAGAATTTCTAGAAAGATTAGCAATAATATAGCACAACATTGGTACATACTGGGAACTTAGTAAATAGAAGATACAGTTGTTCTTTGTCCCAAAGGTGGAAGGACCTACTGCTTTGCTCCTCTGATTTTTTGGTCCAAATAGCATCTTCAGATTTCCTACATACTCCCTGGTGCAGTGGAGCCATGAATGCTTTTTCACTGATATACTGGCCCTTGATGTACTGCCTGCTCCAGCAGATTCACAGAATCACAGTGGGAAGGGTCTTTGAAACCATTTCTCTGCTCTAGTGGCTTTCCAAAAAACATTTTTAATAGCAGAATTATTTTTTTAAGCAAAATCTTTTTAAAACACCAATACTTACTATGTGTCAGGCGTTCCTTTACATAACCCCAATATCTGAAGGGATAAAAGCACAGTATACCTGATGGGAGCAGAGGTGATAGCCCAGAATCTCCTGTGCTGACTCCTGCTTCCCAAATTGTGGGCCCTTTACACAGCTCCCAGGCACCCTGGTATTCATGGAAATACATTCTAAAAACCACTAGTCCAAAGCTCTCACTTTAGTGGTGAATAAGGTGAAGCCCAGAGAACAGTGGTTTTCTACATCTCTTTCTGAGTAGAAACTAAATACTGGAGCAATAAATGTCCTTTTTTTGACATTGCCACCAAAGAAAAACTGATTATGACACCGGTCAATTCTATCTTGAAATGAGCATGAAGCTAGCAGCAGGGTCTGAACATGAGAGAATACCATGTCAGAAGTATAGTCTTTTATCCCAAAATGCCACTCATTAGTAAAACTTCTGGGCATTTTCTTCTATTGAGACTAAAGTGGCATTTCTTAATATGTGTTTTCCATGCTACCATTCAGGAAGGTGAAATTGTTGAAGTGGATGAAGAAACAGCGGCTGTCTTGAAGAACTCACGATTTGCCCAAGATTTTCTGATCAGATCAATTGGAGAGAAGTTGCCAACCGGAGGAGGCTGTTCTGCTTTAGAATCGAAGGTTTGTTTGGCTTTCAATTCCCTACCCTCAAAGAGAACCATTTCAAAAATCATTATGCTTGCCACAGACGACTAAAGCAAGAAACAAATCATTCTTCTTTTAGTTGGCCACCATAAATTGTTTCTAGCATATTTGTATCTATAAAATGATTTGAATTAATTTCATAACTTCATTTTTTTCAATCCTAACTTGGTGCGCCCATAAATGGACTTCAGGACATCCAGGAAATTACATGTGTATTTTCTCAGGAAAGGGTTTATTTATTACTTTCATCAGATTCTCAAAGGGGTCCAGATACAAAAAAGGTTAAAAGCTACCTTGGAAAAAAAGTTATTCAAATTATACATACATATTCTTAAGTCTTTTAATAGAGATAGTCAAATTGCCCTCCAGAAAGATTGTGCCAGTTTACATGCCTACCTGCAACGTATGAGGATACTTTTTCCCTGTGGTCTTACTAATACTGGGTATTATTTTTTAAAATCTTTGCTTGTCCAATAGACAGAAAATAATGTTGTTTTATTTTGCATATATTGAACTTTTTGGTATATTTATTGACAATTTATAGTTCATCCATTGTGAACTTCCTATATAATTCCTTTAACCATTTTCTATTAGAATGGTATTTGCCTTTTATTGCTGTATAAGAGATTGTCTATTATATCTTGCAAATATTTTTTCTCAGCATGTCATTTATCTTTTTATTTGCTTTTTTTCCCCCCAAATAGACATTTTCAATTTTTATGTACAGGTAGTCATTTCCCTTATGGTTTCTGCCTCTGACAGTATGATTAGAAAGACCTGCTTAATATGAACATTATAAATTTACCTGTATTTTCTTTTTGTACTTTCTAAAAATTGAGGCAACATTCACATAACATAAAATTCACTATTTTAACCATTTAACATGTACAACTTAGCACATTTTAGTGGTAGTAGCCATTTATTAAATGGCTTTTAGTACATTTACAAGGTTGTGCAACTGTCATCACTCTCTAGTTCCAGAAAACTTTCATCACCCCGAAAAGAAATCCCATACCCATTAAGCAGTCACCTGCCCTCTCCCCAGCCCCTGGCAATAACTAATTTGCTTTCTGTCTCTGGATTTGCCTATTTTGGACATTTCATGTAAGTGGAATCATACACTATGTGGCCTTTTGTGTCTGGCTTCTTTTACTTAACATAATGTTTTCAAGGTTTATCCATATATCAGTACTTCATTCCTTTTTAGGCTGAATAATATTCCATTATATAGATATATCACATTTTGTTTATCCATTCATCAGTTGATAGACATGTATGTTGTTTCCCCTTTTTGACTATTGTAAGTAGTGTTGCTGTGAACATGCACGCACATATGCATCGTGTACTTGTTTGAGTACTTGTTTTCAATTCGTATGGGTCTCTACCTAGGACTGGAATTGTTGGGTCACATGGTAATTCTACGTTTAACTTTTTGAAGAACCACCAAACTGTTTTCCACAGTGGCTGCACCATTTTACGTTCCTTCCAGCAATATACAAGGGTTCGAATTTCTCTACGTCCTTGCTAACACTTGTTATTTTCTCTTTTGTTTTGTTTGTAGCCATCCTAGTCGGTGTGAAGTGGTACCTCATTGTGGTTTTGATTTGCATTTCCCTAATGACTAATGATGCTAAGAGTCTTCTCATGTGCTTGCTGATCATTTGTATATTTTCTTTGGAGAAGTGTCTATTCACGTCTTTTGCCCATTATTTAATTGGGTTGTTTGTCTTTTTATTGTAGAGTTGTTAAGAGTTCTTTATATATTCTGGATCCTAGACCTTTATCAGATATACAATTTGCAAAAATTTCTCCCATTCTGTATACTGTCTTTTCACTCTCTTGATAGTGTCCTTTGATGCACAAAAGGTTTTGATTTTGATGAAGTCCAATTTATCTATTGTTTCTTTGATTACTTGTACTTTGGGTGTCATAGCTAAGAATCCATTGCTTAATCCAAGATCAAGAAGATTCTTCTAGTATTTCATGGCTTTGTTTTTCACATTGAAATTTTTAATCCATCTGGAATTTATTTTAGCATAGATATTGAAGTAGAGTGTGACTATTTTTCCAAATACTAACTAGTTCAAATTTTCCTATTCATTTATTAAATCATTTCTCCACAGTTTTGAAATGCTAATTTCTCTCATATCCTAATTTCTTAAATGTATATTTGAGCCAGTATTCCACTATAATCTAAAATGACTATTTTCTAAAATATTTTAGATTCATATTTATAATTATTCTAGCATCTGAAATATTGGTATAGCATTTTCTAAAGCATTTTCTCACAATTTATTGCAGATCATCTCTCACAACTACCCTGTGAAGAAGGCAGATAGGTAGTTGTAACAGATATTAGCATCCCTCTTTGCCTTTCTCTCTTTATATATTTGTACCTTTTCCACTATTCACGCTATCATAATTATTTTATTAATCCATTTATTAATTGATAATATTTTATTATTTAGAACAGGCTTAGTGATGGATTTCAAGTTTCTTTTGGCTGACAGAACTTCTAACACTCACCAAAGTCGTAACAGTGATGCATCTCAAGGCATGGAATTTTGGGAGGCCAGGGAAATGAGATACCAATGTTGCTGTGGCAAGATGGGGGTTTAAGTACATGGGCTTGGAGTCAGATAGACTAGGTTCAGATCTTGGCTCTGCCACTTACGTGTGATCTTGGGTATGTTACCCAACCTCCCTAAACCCTTTTTCCCTCAGGTTGTCAGGATCAAATGGAGCAATAAACATATGTAAAATGTTAGCCCAATCCTGGCACATAATACGTACTCAAGAAATAGAAGCAGTTATAGTTATGGACGTGTACTTATTAAGATTCTTGGTCGCTTGGAACTGGGTTCTAAGTATTTGAGTTCTAACCACCTTTACAGGACTCTTTTATCATTCTCCCATATACCCTTTCTCCTGGGCTCAGAAATTCTGTAACCTTTCTCCATGAATGTTTGCTTTCTGTTGCTGGTATTTTGTAGTAATTTTGGATACAGTTGATATACAAGTAACTGTTGTGCCTTTCTCTCTTCCTTTTGTTATTTTGTCAGCAATCTTTAAGAGTAAAGCTTATTTAGAGATCACTCTCCAAAAGGTAAATTTGCAGTTGGGAAAGTTTAATTGAACACAAGAGGAGAGAATCCTAGAGTCAAAAAACCTAACATGTTCTTGTTTGGCCACTATTATCAGCATGAATCTAGCCCAAGCTCAATATAGAGCTGGAGAGTGATTTACTTTCTTTGCTTTATTAAATTCTTGAGCACTCTGCAATTGTTACTCTTCTGTTTTTCTAAGAAGGTGATTTTTGGAAAGTAGAGAAATTTGACTTCTGATTTTTCAGTATATTAAACATGTCACAAACGTGTTACTGGTATTTTGAAACTCTTGGGAGTTTATTGATAACAAAACCTTGCTGGCTGGAATCAATGTTTATTTTGAAATGTTTTCGTCACTCTAATTCTCCTGTAACCTGGTCTCCTGAGTACTAACTATAAAAGCTGTCAGAAGATTATAGTTACAAGTAAAGGGAGTCTTTCCTCCAGCTACAGCATTTCCAGGGTACTGTGGCTGTAAAAAATATAGTTAAATGAGTTTGCTTCTGCAGAAGACCATTTTTTCCCAGCATCGCTCTTCTCGTTCCCCCCTGGTGTGCATGCACGGCTTGTGCAGGAGGGTTCTTGACCTCAGATACCAATGGTAACAGTCTATGTATTTGAACTGGTTTATCCCAACAGTCTCCTTTCTATTCTGCTTCATTTCTGTCAGCCTACAGATGTGCCAATGCCTTTAGATTAGCTCCAAGATTTTGAAATGAGAATAATTGACACTGAAGGAAGATTTAAAGAATGAAACAGCTGTGTGTCCTAGAAATATAACCTTGGGCTCTTGGGGAGGACATTCCTATCTGTTTTATAGAAGACCTTTATGATAAACCCTAGAGTGCAGTACAGGCTGACGGCAGGCAGGGAATGCTCCTCCTTACGTCTTCCCACCAGTTGCTGCAATGGGGAATGAAAAGTGCTGCTTCTTACTGAGGGCTGACTCAATAGTGACTGTTTTTGAGAGTCTTTCTTCTTCTTCTTTTTTCTTCCTCTCCTCCTCCTCCTTTCTTATCTTGACAAGCAAAGTATATTTTGCTATTAAAAGAATTACATTATTAAAACACTGCAGCATCTGAAACGATGCAAATAGGATTTGTGCTATGTACTGTCTTGCTTCGGTAAATAGTAGTGGTAGTGATAACACGAACAACCATAGTAATAATATAGAGGACCTAGCCTTTATTGAATAGTTAATATGTTCTGGGCACCATGTCATTTAGTCCTCACAACAACCCTTAATATCCTCATTTTACAGATGAAGAAACTGAGGCTCAGAGAGATTAATTTACTAATCCAATTTTACATAGCTAGAAAGTGGTGAATTTGAATGCACGTCTGCTTCTAGAGCTGACATTCTTACTCAACATGCTGTACTACCTCTCATATTTATACTTTTCATAGAATCACAGGATGTTGATGCTGGAAAGGACTGCTTATCAAGCTATCCCACCTTTTATTTCCTTCCAGTCTTGAGATCTTTTAGGGCTGGGAGCATGCACTTGGAAGTGATATTGATATCACTATCTCCTAGTGGTAGAGAGGACATGGAGTGAGAAGAAGAGTGTGGAAAATCAGTTTCCTGGGTGAAAAAGAGGAGAAGCTAACTCTTCTGACCAGCAATTCCAATGCTCTGAGTGGAGGAAATACAATGGATGTGAAGGCCTGGCAGCAGCAACCAGCATAGCCAGCCCTCTTCCAGGCTTTAAGATCCCCTGGCAGATGCTAGTCTGCCTGTTAGGGAGCCCATATCCAGGCAGACCTCTTCATTTAGAGAGGCGGAAATGGAGGGCCAGAGAGGCCAAGGCCGCTAGTAAGTTACTTCAGTAAAGGCAGTGGTCCATAAGACTGTCATTCATGAATGTAGAGTCTGCGCCTGTCTTGTTCACCCTTCTATTTTCAGTGCCAGCAATAAATAGTAAGAGTGTAAATTTATGTTTCATGAATTCATTATCATTATTTAAGGGGGCTTGTTCATGCTCTTGATTTCCTGTCTTTGTTCCTGGTTTTTCTCTGGCCCCACTGGTGCTGCTGCTATTGGAGGTATCTCACATGGAGGTGAAAGGAGGAAAAATAAAGACAGCCATCTTATCTTTTGAAAATTCCACTTCCTCTGCCCTGAGATCTTACTGGCCATTGTTGGCAAGCTCAACATCTGGACATCAGCAATTGCTAACGATGCCCTGGTATCTGGGACTTACCTTCTTGTCTTGCATATGTTTCTAGAGATTAGAGTAAGGAAAGGGAAGTAGTTCCAGTATTTCAGAATCTCAGTTCCAAAAGGGTAAAAGGCACATACAAATGGGACTCCCACAAAACAAAACAATGCAAAATCAACTCTCCTGGATCAATAGGGACTACCTTTAAGAAGCTGAAATGAAGTTTACCTTGAAAGTAAGAACTTGATGAGAAGCTTCAGGAAGAAGATGGCTACCTTTATAGCTGAATGACTGATGCTACTCCCAGGACCCCAAGGAATTGTAAAGTTTTATCTCCCTTCTGGGTAAATCAACCTAAATCAAACTGAAATATTATGTTTGGGTCCATCAAAACACCTTTAACTCGTCCTTTCATTTTGGTTTGCCTTTTGACAGGATGTAATCACAGATCCGTTCAAACTTGCAGAAGTGTCTGACAACATGAGCTCCAGATGTGCCCCTGATGTTGCTAGCGGCTGCTGTGGCACAAAGAAAAGCTGCTAAAACTACTGCTGACCAGAAGACAGTGGGCAGGAGGCGAAGGAATGAGTTACATATATCTCTTATCCTGCTCTTCCCCCTAGCACAACCACAAGAAAGAATAAACAGCAAAAAGCACCATATTCTAGATCACTGATAAAAATAAATGAATCATTTTTAGAAGGTTTTAATTAAAAATTCACAGCAAATCACCTAAAGACTAGTTAAGCTGAGTTTTTCTCTATCTCAACAAATTCAAAGTTCTGGTGCCACTTACTGGTCAGAAATGGAACTGAGATGCAGTCAAGGCCAGTGGGCAAGAAGCCTTCAGAAATAATGGTTGGCAGAGGGTCTCAGGAAGAACATCTTCCCTTGGACCTGCATAGCACCTTTTGGACTTTTCACCATGTTTGCTCATTAAACCAGGCTCCTACTGAAATCATGCTAATCATTCCAAAAGATTGCCAAATCACATTTGGTAGGAGTGCTCTTGAGGTAACTGGTCTTTTAAATCAAATAGTTTTTCTTTTTTGTAAATTTGCAATTGAATGAAGAAAACAAATGAATAATTTCTTTAACCTCAATTCACCCTCATGTATGACAACATAGTGACTATCTGTAGTAAATCCGAACTGGATCAGGAAAAGAGTTTGATAATTTTTAAAAGAAGAGTTGGAAGGGGCTGGCCTGCTGGCATAGTGGTTAAGTTCACGTGTTCCACTTCAGCAGCCTGGGGTTCGCTGCTTCAGATCCCGGGCACAGACCTACACACCGCTCATCAAGCCATGCTGAGGCAGTGTCCCACATAGAAGAGCTACAACTCTACAACTATGATGTACAATGCAGCCCCTATTCACTGGGGCTTTGGGGAGAAAAAAGAAAAAAGAGGAAGATTGGCAACAGATGTTAGCACAGGGCCAATCTTCCTCTAACAAACAAACAAAACCTATACTTAAAAAAAAAAAAAGAAGAGCTAGGAGATGTTTACATTTTTAAATGGTGGATTTCTTTTCCTTTACAAGGTGCCCTGGTTAAACTTTCAGGAACGTATTAGATTTATTTATTTTTTATTTTATTTTATTTTATTTTTTTGTGAGGAAGACCAGCCCTGAGCTAACATCCGATGCCAATCCTCCTCTTTTTTGCTGAGGAAGACTGGCCCTGGGCTAACATCTGTGCCCATCTTCCTCTACTTTATATGGGACGCCGCCACAGCATGGCTTAACAAGTGGTGCGTCAGTGTGCACCTGGGATCCCAACCGGCGAACCCCAGGCCACCGCAGCGGAGCATGCGCACTTAACCACTTGCGCCACCAGGCTGGCCCCTAGATTTAGTTCTAGTTTCCATAAAGAAGAAGATTGAGGAATATTTCAAGGATGATTACATCATTAGAAATGAAGAACATTAAGGAAAGTTTCAAGGATGATTAAATAAATTGAAGACTTTGTCAGGGGACACAGAAAGGTATGTGTCATATATAAGTCATGGTCCTTGTCATTAGGAGCTGATAGTTCAGTTTTGTAATAACAACCTTTAAGCAATGAAGACTTTTAATATGAAAATCTCAGCCAGTTGCTCTGAGCTCAATGCAAAAAGAACCAGGGGGGCGCTGGCATGGCCCAAGAGATTTCTTATTCAGGGGTCTGAGAATTTTTAGGCCTTGTAAAACATTGGAATGGATTCTACAGGCCAGACTCCTCTTTTAAAAAAGCTGTAAAAAATGGAGAAATTCTCAGATTTCTGAGTGGGTTCAGCTATAGACGCTGACTTACTGCTACAGACTGAGGCGAGGACTGGGTGGTATCTTTTTTTTTTTTGCTGAGGAAGATTTTCCCTGAGCTAACATCTGTGCCAGTCTTCCTCTATTTTGTATGTGAGCTGCCGCCACAGCATGGCCACCAACGAGTGGTGTAGGTCCACGCCCAGGATCCGAACCCTGGGCCACCAAAGCAGAGCACACCAAACTTAACCACCAGGCCACAGCGCCAGCCCTGGGTGGTATCTTTTAAGCCCTATTCAACTCAGTGACCTTGATTCTAAACAGTGCTTTCTTGGTTCTAGAGTTCAGTATCTACCCAGTCTTTACCTACTTTAGTGACAGCATTTGTTAGAATGGTACAGCTGGGATTAAGCATACCTCAGTATCCATGAGCATAAGATGGTCCTGCTAGAGGGGAAATGATGAAAAGAAAGGATGTTCTGGTTACTTGGTTTATTAGGCTTTTCTGAATTTAGAGAGAGGAGATATTAGTCTTTCATTTGTCATTCTGAACTCTCAGTTCTCCCAAAAAGATGTTGAGTGGAGATTGAGCTGGAATATGGAAATTCATGGTGTTCTTTTCCTAAGAGTAACATACTTTATACATTATTTTCCAACAAAAATATACATTTTAAGAATTGTATTTGACCTGGAATCTAGAAAAAATATATATTAGACAACGTAAAATTAAAGTAGACGTTTTGTCCAGAAAAATGCTATAAGCAGTTATTTAAATATTCAAAATAGGTGAAATAGACAACTAGGAACGTACAACCCTTATAAGTGAGGATATCTCTCCTTTAAGAGTGAGAGGTAGTATGAATGATGATAAGGAGCAAAAACCTGATGCCAAACTTGATAGTTTTTTTTTCCTCTTAACTCTGCCACTTAGCATTTTGGGCTTGAGAAAATTATTTAACATCTCTGTGCCTTTGTTTCCTCATTTGTTCGAAGTTCTTTGAAAGAGTGCGTGGCACATGGTTTAGATTATTACTGGTTTAGATCTCTGTGGTTGCTACCAGCATGTGATGTCAGGACCACCTAAAGACCAATGCTGCTTTTGCTGCCAGAGCGTGGTTTAGGAAGCTGCCTGTAGCTCTTTTGACAGCAGGTGACTTTCCCCCCAATATTTTATTGAGACAGCTTTCAAATATGCAGAAAAGTGTATTGAATTATAGTGACTACCCATTTACCCACCACCTAGATTATAGCCTTGTTAACCTTCTGCCATCATTTAATACAGAGCCACAGAAACAGGGGCCTAATTCTTCCCTAGCCACAAACCCTTTTCAAAAGATGTTTAAGGAGCAGATTTTCTCTTCATTGATCACTGTATCAAATACAGTATTTTCAGTCCTTCATTATCACAGGGGGAGGATTTATTTAAAAATCATGGATGCCTGCAGAGGCTTTTCAGTCTACCTACTGGGGGAGGCCCAGCAGTGGCCTAAATAGAACCTTCACCCCCACCCTCACTTCCAGCCATGCATAGCTGAAAAGGTCATGGCTTTGTGCCAAGAAGACAGCAGAACCTGCTCCTCATTGATTCTCGGCCTTTCCTTGGATGGCTCCAAGGAAGTAGCCAAGGCAGTGACTAATTCTGCCTTATTATGTTGGGAGGTCTACTAAGTGAGCCTAGCAAGGACTGTCAACCTATCCAACCATACTTTCATTTATTCACTAAATATTAATTAAGTACCTCCTGTGTACCAGGCACTGTCCTAGGCATGGATAGCCAGCAATGGAATATTATGAACCACATGGGTCAACAAGACAAAAACAGCTAAGCATATTTTCTAAGCTTTGTTGGCACCTGTCCTAACTTCTGTGATTTGCCAAGTTTCTTCAGTTGCACACACACCACAATTTGGGTCTCAACAAGGGTTCTTTTATAGACCGTGCCCTAAGAGTCAGTGGAGGGAGATCTCACTAGATCATAAAAATGAACTCTTTTGCAAATATGAAGCTGGAATTATACAATGATTTGAGCTTTACTGGTTCATTCCAGTCTCTATTCAACTGCTGATCCTGCAGTTCCTGTAAGCACAGCTCCCACTGAGGTTAATGTGAGTGTTATGTGAATGTAAGTTTTGTATTTAATTCTCTCCTGCTGAGGGAGCCTTGCTTGTCTTGGACTGACGACCGTACCAATCCCCTTCCCCAAGGGGGACAGGCTAGACCCTCCTTTCATGGAGCAGAGCCTTGCAGTGGTGATGTGCTCCAGGTGAGGGGAAAATCAATTTGGGACAAAACTGTTCTGCCCTAATGCTACTCCATTGCCTCATATAATAGCAGAATGCCTCAACACATTGTCCAGAAGCCAGAGAGAGTAAAAAAGTAGAATGGTAAATTGATGATGTTCTGTGTGCACTGTAAGCCAGACTTGGGTCTGCTAACTTTTAACACTAGGCCTAAAGCCATTAACCTTCTCACTCATGGAGTGAAACATGATACAGGTGACAGAAAGCAGGTATTCTTTCTAGATCTGGCTCTGCTGATGAACCAGTTACTTGCCCATAGGAAAATCCTTTGTCTGCTTTGGGGTTCTCTTTTCCCATCTGTAAAATGAGGGTACGGAACTCGACATAATCTAAGTTCCCTTCCAGGCTTAGAGACAGATTTATAGGTCTAGATTCTGGGGAGGTCACATTAACTTGTTTGAGTGAGTTGCCTTCATGTATAAATCAGAAGATTTTACATAAAATATGAATTTCTGGCTTCTCTGGAAAAATTGGAAATGCCGGCAACATTAGCCCTGCATTTCTGCACAGCTGCCATGGCCAGAGTGAGTAATGGCTTCCCCTTCAGATGGGGCATGTCCCTTTAGACAGTTTGCCACCATCCCTACCAATCAACTTTACTGCCCCTGTAGGCTTTTGAATTGACGGCCCTGTTTTAGGACTAGAATAGCACAGTTTCATCAAAGTTACAAGTGAGGTTTTTTTTCCCATTATAGTTCAAATGATGGCAGGTCTATCGCTTAATCTACGACTCTGACTTATATATTTAATTCATTACAAGCAGAAGCCAAGCAGGGCACGTGGAGCTCTGCGGGGATGCTTGCAGAAGGGGACCAAAGGGTGCCGGAGCTGCTTATGGTAATCTGACATATAACTCAGAGGTTAATTGTGTCAGGTGAGGTGGCCTGGACAGTCTATTCTCTGTTCCCAGAGTTAACAAGCTTCCCTCACAGATTTTTCTTTGTGAATATTAAATGAGCATCCTCCGGAAAGGAAAGCCTCAAAATGTCAAGTTGCTGGGGAGGAAAGGTTTGCGCAGCAAGTGCAGAAGGACTTGTGTGGCGTCTAGGCTCAGTGGTTAATCTTTCTATTAACTGTCCTTATTTTCTTTTTCTTACTAACCTTATTATTCTTTTCAACTGGATCTAACTAGGGAAATGTTGTGAAGGAGGTATTATTATTTTTGCTTTTAAATAATATAACAGGAGCCCATAAAGCCTACCAAACCCTTTAAAACTGGTGATCTCTCATGGTAATGAGGAAGATTCATTGCTTTGTGTGGATATAAAGCGTGCCAAATATCCCAAGTTGTTTCTCTACTGAAAATAACTCCCTTACACCTCCCTCACGATGCTGATTTTTCTAATTTTACAGAAGAGACAGCCAAGGCTGAGGATATTTAAATCTTGCACGGTGGGAGTACAGTCTGAGAAGTATTAGAACGAAGACTAGAAGTAGGTCTTCTGACTCCTCTACCATTGCATCATGGGGTTTGTCCTTGCTCTCTCCTTTATGGAATTCTCAAATTTAAAAATACAGCAATTACAAAGGGAAATGATTACTATAAAGGTAAGGATCCTGGTTACATCTAGGGTAGAGAAGAGGAGTGTGATCGAGAAGGCATATATAGAGGTTTTCTCAACTAAGGGGTGGTTCCCTTTACCAGTATAAATT